AAAATTTGGGGGCTTTGGGTCCTGAAAGATGCAGAAAAAAGCCCAAAAATTCCCCAGAAAAGTCCAGAAATTTCTCGAAGCTCCCAGAAGATTCAGAAAGGTCCTGGAAGGTGAATAAAAGGTCCTGGAAGGTCCCAAAAAAGCCCAGAAATAGCAGAGACAGGTCCAGAAAGATGCATAAAAAGCCCCAAAATTCTGGGAAAAAAATCCCAGAAAATTCTGGAAGGTCCCGGAAGGTTCAGAAAAGGTCCTGGAAGGTGCAGAAAGGTTCAGAGAAGGTTCCAGAAGGTGCAGAAACAGCCCAAGAAGAACCCAGGCAGGTCCTGAAATATGCATAAAAAGAACAGAATTTCTGGGAAAAAAAAATCCCAAAATTTCCCAAAAGTTCTCAGAAGTTTCAGGAAGGCCCTGGAAGGTTCTGGAAGGTGCAGAAAGGTTCAGGAAAGGTCCTGGAAGGTCCCAAAAAAGCCCAGAAATAGCAGAGACAGGTCCTGAAAGATGCATAAAAAGCCCCAAAATTCCTGGGAAAAAAATCCCAAAAAATCCCAGAAAATTTCTGGAAGGTCCCAGAAGGTTCAGAGAAGGTTCCAGAAGGCACAGAAAGGTCCTGGAAGGTGCAGAAAGAGCCGAAAAACAGCCCAAAAAGAGCCCAGACAGGTCCTGAAAGATGCATAAAAAGATCAGGATTTGGGGTAAAAAAATCCCAAAAAATTCCCAAAAAATCGCAGAAAATTTGGGAAGGTCCCGGAAGGTTCAGAGAAGGTTACAGAAGGTGGAGAAAGGTCCTGAAAGGTGCAGAAAGAGCCAAAAAACAGCCCAAAAAGAGCCCAGACAGGTCCTGAAAGATGCATAAAAAGCCCCAAAATTCTAGGAAAAAAATCCCAAAAATCCCAAAAAATCCCAAAAATTTCCAGAAGGTCCTGGAAGATTCAGAGAAGGTTCCAGAAGGCACAGAAAGGTCCTGGAAGGTGCAGAAAGGTTCAGAAATAGCCCAAAAAGAGCCCAGGCAGGTCCTGAAAGATGCATAAAAACAGCAGAATTTCGGGAAAAAAGTCCCAAAAAATTCCCCAAAAATCCCAGAAAATTCGGGAAGGTCCCGGAAGGTTCAGAGAAAGTTCCAGAAGGTTCAGAAAAGGTCCTGGAAGGTGTAGCCAGAAAAGGTTCCAGAAATAGCAAAGACAGGTCCTGAAAGATACATAGAAAGCCCCAAAATTCCGAGAAAAAAAAATCCCAAAAAATTCCCAAAAAATCCCAGAAAATTCCGGAAGGTCCTGGAAGGTCTAGTAAAGGTTCCAGAAGGTACAGAAAGGTTCAGAAAAGGTCCTGGAAGGTGCAGCAATAGCCCAAAAAGAGCCCAGACAGGTCCTGGAAGGTACATAAAAAGCCCCAAAATTCCAGGAAAAAAATCCCAGAAAATTCCCAAAAAATCCCAGAAAATTCGGGAAGGCTCCGGAAGGTTCAGAGAAGGTTCCAGAAGGCACAGAAAGGTCCTGGAAGGTGCAGAAAGGTTCAGAAATAGCCCAAAAAGAGCCCAGGTAGGTCCTGAAAGATGCATAGAAAGAGCAGAATTTCAGGAAAAAAGTCCCAAAAAATTCCCCAAAAATCCCAGAAAATTCGGGA